GGTGATTCGTCTTCATTTCATTTTTTTCTATATATCGACTTACTATCATCATAACGGCATTTTACATATAATGCAATACTATAGGCTTCATGTTCTTAGAAACTATATCTCTTAACATTGGTATTTTTATTCGGATCTTCTATAGGTTTTAACAGACATTCAAAATCGGCGTATATAATAAATGGAACTTCCTCTTTATGATTAAATTTTTAAATTCTAAAGTAGCATTGTCAGGTAAATTAATCCGACACTTATTTATTTTGGAATAGTCAACTTCATGAGATTTCAAATTTTCCTTGTTAGTAAAATAATGAAGACAACGTTCACAAAGATAAATTTTTTCAGTATGTTGAGTAATTTGACTACGAAGAAGAGCAGATAAATTTTTAATCCATACGTAGTGAGTTTCTAATTTGAATTTTTCATCATCTATTGATATTCGAGGTCTATTAGTATCATTTTTATCAATATATTCGTTTTGTATTAAGAGCAAGTTCTCATGTTTAGTTTGTTTTAATTTCGTTATATAGCACGGTGAGACTTCATATTTCGATCCATATTTTTTAAGTATATATAAATTTACACTTATATTATTCAACTTTTCAAATTTAGGCATACTTTTTGTTTTTACAGGGAAGCTTATACCGTCAAAATTCAGTTCATTCTCATAGAACTTGTACTTACTTACTCTGTATGAATTTTTTTCAACTGGATTAAGGCATGAAAGTATAGCCCACTTAAAACATTCATTGTCTTCATTTTTAACATTAACACAGGCTCTTTTATTATTTAAGCTTGACAGTAATGGTATATATGAGCATGGTTTAAATGAATTATACTTATTTATATTGATAGTGAGTCCAACAATAGTTTTTAACTACTAGCCTGACACTATTTCTTGAAATTCTTCGATTTGTTTAAGTATATAATAATATTTTCAACGTTGTTTTGAAACCATCTATCAAGATCAGTAGTCTTATAAATGCAAACATTTTCTGTATTGAAATACTTGATTTGAATATCTTCTTCTTGATTTTTCTTTATGATAAATTGTCATGCCATTTCTGTATTTATTTTCAAGTTATTATGGATAGAAAGAAATTGGGTATTTTAATTTGTAAAAGTTGATTTGCGGCAACTAGAAATGTTTTTATATCTAAATGATTTTGATTAACTATACAGACTGTACTAATTCAATCTTAAAAGGCTGAATGAATTGGCCTCCAAACAACTCCATTTCCTGGAATTACATCCTGAATAGCTGTTAATAGATGTATACTTCCACCAACTTTTATAGTTTTACTTAAATTGACTTGAATAGAATTCAAATGACAAGCACAAGTTTGACATCTTTGTTGAATTGCTCTACTTAAATCAGATCATTTCATAAATTCATTAATTGAAATTATAGCAATAATTGTTAGATTTCTCCATCTAATATAATCGTCTATATCTAAATCGTCCGAATAATGATAAGCTTTCCACAAATTTTTAATTGTTTCTTCAAAATAGGCGATAGAAGTCATGGTGTTAGTTATCTGGTTTTTATTATCTTGTAGAGTCACTTGTCTGTAGTTGTATAAAGGATTATTATAATGAAAGGATGGAAAAGGTAGTGAACAGCTCTAAAATGAACTTGTTCTCAGTTGGTAATTAGTATTGGTTTGTTTAACAAATCAATAAGGATTCAACTAACTACTGAGATACTACTTGCAAATGGAGTAAGATAAGGCAAGCTTAGCTCGCAGGCTGTCTCGAGAGACTGCGCTCTTTTGCTAGGTCGAAGCGGTTTTTAAAGGTTAAGTGATGTTGCTACCAGCAAACTGAGGACGCTGCTTATAAAGTGAGGGCACTGTAGGTAGTATAGGGAAGGGATAGCTAAAACGAAAGAGTTGGGGGTGAACCGACTGTAGCACCCTCTAACTTATTAATTTAGTATTAAAGGGTTTATATATAGATCTTCAGAATGAAAATATAGTCATGATTGCTTTGAGATACGATTCAGCTCACATATTATAGAGAATAATTGGATTTATACTCTAAGATGGACTATATTTTAGATATTCAAGGATTTCAGAGTCCTAATACTATTTTTATTTGTAAAGAGTTTGCCTATTTACCAGTATGTTCTTATACTTCACCAACAGTACTACTTTTTAAACCTCCATATCATTGGCTGAAACTGCCTATTGATTATCAAAGTGTTAATAAGTGGTTGGAATTACATCATCATGGTATTTATTTTTTATTATCGTTAATTAACATTGATTTTATTTGAAATATTTAATATAATTAATTTTATAGGTCTATTATGGAGAAATGGTATTTTACATATAATTTTTTAAATTGTACTATTCGCAGTTATTTACGTAATTGTAGAAATATTTATGTGAAAGGATTACAAAAGAAGCAATGGCTCAAAAAAATTATTCTTGAAAAGTAGGTTCAAATAATATACAATAGTACAAAATTCTAAATACGAATTTAATCAGTTTTTTTTTTTAATTATAGAAACATTTTAGGTATCGAACTGAAGATGAAACTGAAATGTGATGTTCGCGATTGGAAGATTTAAGTCTTAAATTTAAATCATCATGCATATATCATAGTCAAATTCGCGAGAATATAGTATGTGCTGCGATAAATACACAAAAGATATACGATTGGATGATGGAAAGACAAAAACAAGCAAAATCAAAAGGGATCGATACAATCGAAAGATTTACAGACGACTATAATTCATATAAAAATTCGACTGAATATTTAAAAATAGCTATGTCGGACACTGAACATGAAGATTATAGACAAAGTGTACTCTACTCAATGTATTATTAAAAAATATTTAATATTAAATAAATAATAAAATTCGAACTTATTTAAATAATAAAATAATCATTACGATTACAAGGAAGGGCGAACGGATGGGAATAAGGTTCTCTCCTAGCATGCGCTGCCCCCTCCTTCGCACGCTCGGGCCCTATACCAAATGTATACGCATGTAGCTAATATATACAATATGCATTGCAACGGTAGTCGATTCAATTAATCGAACCGTTCGCGATTCTGATTTTCGCGCGTTAGTTCTAAGTATTGAGAGAGAGAGGGGGCGCGCGATCTTTTGAATTAGCAGTTACGTCTCAGCTGTTACTTGTGTAGTACCGCCAAAATAGTTTAGCACAGTGTTCCAACGATTTGCTAATAAAAAAGTTTACTTGGATTTTGGATACGTGTGCAAGGGTGAGCGAGGAAGCAGCAACAGTAGCAGCATTACGGAAGCAGCAGCAAAAGCAACAGCAATTATACAGCAGATTTGCAATCGAGGCAGCACAGCTGATTCTGATCGGAGGAGCACCTTTAATTTGCTTCAACAATTACGGCTGATCACCGTAATTGCACCGCAGGGTAGGTGCACCTCCCTTATTTATCTCGTGACAAAATACATTTGATATTTTGTCCAACGGTGTTAGCGTTAATTTTTTGTATTCGCGTCGAGCGTTAGATGGCGCCAATATTCGTATCTTCTCTCTCTCTCTCTCTCTTTCTCACCGAAAGTTATTTAATTGTAAATCCTATTCGCATGCGTCAGTCTTTCGGCCCGACAAAGACTGTAGAGATTTTTATTAATAAAATCTATTAAACTTATTCGCCGATTTCGTCATATAATTTTTCCTAATAGTTTAAACAATTGAAAAAGGCTTAGGCTTTAATCCGATTATAGCTAGGGGATTAAGTGAATTAGGAGCAAAGTCGATCACACTTAAAACTCATCGAGTATCACAAGGCACGTGACTTAAGGTGAGTTCAACTCTGCTTGATCGAAGACATCTAAGTTAAGCCAGCTGACGTTAAGGCGAATACACGTATTAACATACGTGTTAACGGAGCGGCGGTTTGCTCTGCATCGTGGGAGTTTGTTCTTAAATAAATTTCTCATTTTGCAGATTTACCGCCCCGTTACAGCATCCTATAATATACTCTAGTGGTAGAGCGCAAGCCTACCAGCCCAGAGGACTCCGGTTCGATTCTCCGGTCTGTCTCTTTATTTTTTTCAATCGTCGCTATTTTCTATTCGTTTCATTTTCAATCTAGCAAGTAAATTGTCAATAATATATTTATAACTTTTTTATATATACATTTAAATTAAATTAGACGGAAAGCACTAGGTATAGGGTCCCTAAAGACTAGGAGCCCTCGAAACCTTCCTCCAAAAATTATAAACAATTATTAACATTAATAATGATTAACATGGAAGGGTTAGGCCAGGGAACCAAAGGGTTAAACCAGGAACCCCCACGAATATTGTTAATAATAACTATTAACAATAATAATAATTATTATTAACATAAAAGGGTTAAGCCAGGGGGGACCAAAGGATTACGGACCCCCCGCAGGTGTGATGGAACATACATTGCTATACTACTTTAATAAACATTAAATTTGTATAAATGAATAGAACAAATTTAATTTATGAAAAAATAAATGAATAAATCTTCGATAACAAACGAATATAATTGGCCCTATGGTTTCATTCGAATAAATTTTCATACCTTTTATAATACGTTTTGTCGTCATTTCTGTTAAATTTTTCAGATGTTGAGTTTCTATGTGTCGGGTAGTCAGTCATATGTTTCCGTTACAACTTATACTGACTTTCCATTAATCCGTGTATTTTAATATTACAAGGTGATATTTTAGCCGTTTTAAGATAAATATCTCCGGCTCTCTTGAGACTAAACAAAGAGATGATTAAATGAACGAAGTTAAATATATATCAAACAAATAAGTATATTAGTATAAGTATGCTTTTTATCCAAAACCATTATTTTTATCATTTGCATCATAAACAAGAATAAGGGAATGTATATTTTTCAACACAAAATTATGTTTTCATAATAAAAAAAGAATGTTGTAAACATTTTTTATTTACTGTGTATTAAAAATATATATGAGAAACTTTTATTTAGAGGTAATATTATTAGTTGAACATTTATTTAACTTACCGGTGATACTATTGTTCGGTAGAGTATAACCAATCAATTGACCTAGACCAAATCGAGATGTTTTGCGTTTCAAAATTGGAGCCGAATATTGTCGGCTATTCGTTCTTTCTATGTCTGAAAAAAAAGCCATTGTTATATTATTGAATTAAAAATACTATGAACGAGTGAAAACAGAAGTTCCATGAATAATATCAACTGAACAATGTTAACTAATAGTAGTAGTAACTTATTAAGGTTACATATTCTGAAGATTCTCTTAATGTCTCTTAATAACTATTTCCAATGCCCTAAATATTTCAACGAAAATTTCATATACGACGTCTGTTCAAAAAGTATCGCGAATTTTGTATGTTTTCAAGAATTATATATTTATTCATGAATATCTATTTCATCTCTTTCAAAGTAATCCCCCTCGAATATAATGCACTTGTACCAAAGTTTTTCCAATCTTCGAAGTACTTAATAAAATCATTTTTTGTAATCTTGTTCAGCTCCTCCTTCGATGCCATCTTTATCTCCTCAATCGTGGCGTAGCGTCGTCCTTTCATGGGCCTCTTCAGTTTTGGGAACAAGAAAAAGTCACAGAGGACCAGGCATCATTACTATGTTGCTTTTGGCCAAATATTCGCGCACAAGTAACGATGTGTGAGCAGGGGCGTTATCATGGTCCAAAAGTCAGTTTTTATTCTTCCACAAATCCGGACGTTTCTGGCGGATCGTTTAGCACAAATTGCGCATAACTTGCAGATATTATTCCTTATTGACCGTACTACCCTGTGGTAAGAACTCATGATATATCACGTCCCTGTAATCGAAGGAAACTGTGAGCAAAACCTTCATGTTCGGCCGAACTTGGCGCGCTATTTTCGGTCTTTTTGGATCATGCGTCAGTTTCCATTGGGATGATTGAGCTTTGGTTTCCAGATCATAACCATAAACCCATGATTCATCACCAGTTATGATCCTTTGAAGCACATTTGGATCGTCACGGACCGAGTCTAATATCTCCTGAGCAATGTTAACACGATGCTGGTTTTGGTCGAAATTTAGCAATTTTAGCACGAATTTCACAGCGACATGACTCATGCCCAACTCATTGATTGAAATCGAATGGCATGAGCCAATTTATATGTTTAGATCCTCAGAAACTTCTCTAATGGTGATTCGACGATTGGTCAATACTATTTTCTTCACTTTAGCAATGTTTTCGTCTGTTGTTGACGTGCTCGGGCGTCCGATACGTTGTTCGTCGTTCACATCTACTTGGCCCTCTGACAACATTTCGTACCACTGATAAACGTTGCTTTGATCCAAGGTAGCTTCACCATATGCTACAGTCAACATTCGGAATGCGTCCGCGCACTTTATTTTGTTTTTCACACAAAATTTGATACAGATTCTTTGATCCATTTTTAGAATAGGCAAAAATCGAAGACGAGCCAAACCACATCAAAGCAAAACAGTTGTCAAAAATTAACTAAACATTCAAAACGGCCGATCTTGTCAGCATAATTAAGGGACACGAGTACCAATATAGCACTACAAGAAACTCAAAAATCAAATTTACTTAGCCCGCGGAAATTCGAAATTCGCGATATTTTTTGAACAGACGTCGTATCTTCATGGAACATCCATGAATAATATTTGATAAAATAATAATTGCAATGTATGTTCTGGGACACAAAGGAGCCGACAAAGGATGCCGTCAATGTATAAGGGATATGTGTATGTTCTGGGACACAAAGAGGCCGCCGGATGAAGGTGTCACGGTATCACACTACCGCGACACCTTTTTATCGCGATAAGGTGAGACCCCATACTGAGTGTCTAAAACGCATTTGATGTACCTTTGACACCTCCGGCTGAGTATCTAAAAGATAATCGATGTACCTTATGCATTGAAGATGCGTCGTCAATGCATAAGGGATATTTGTATGTTCTGGGACAGAAAGAGGCCGCCCGATGAAGGTGTTGAGTTTTCGCGATAATTTGACACCTGTTTGTCTTCCAGTGTGCACTTTGACCGTGCCCCCCCCAAACCCACCGCCACCTGCCCATCCACCACCAACCACCCACCCATTCCACTCCACCCACCTACAGAGGTTGTTAAGGTAGGATGCTGTATAAGTCGGTAGGGTGTTTGGTGAGCTATATGATGGTCTCTCTCTCATTTTCCTTCCATAGTAGGGTGCTTATGTTAGTAAGCTTATGCTGGCTAAATGTGGGCCCTTGGAGAGGAGGTAGTGTCTCTAGCTTGGTAAGCTATATGCTGCTCTCTCTCGCTCTTCTTCGACAGTAGGGTGCATAGTAAGCTTTAATTTTTGAGAACCTTACAACCACTCTCCGATAACATTACATCTCTTGCTGAGAGTCTAAAGCACATTCGATGTTCCTTTTTAAATGAAGATGCATTCTAGCAGCGTGCACTATCCTTTTTCAGGGTGACATTTAATTTTAAGAAATGTTCGACCACTCACACTACCTTGCACTCTCCGATAACGCTTTACCTCATGCTGAGGGTTAAAAACGCAATCGATGTTCCTTTTTCAATGAAGATAGGTTCGAATGTATGTATTACGCAGCGGGTGATTGGAGAGAGAGTGATCTTAATAACGAATCGTCTCTTAGTTATCTTAATGCTTTTTGTCTTAGAGATAAGATTTTTTAAGTTAGCCTTGTTTAGTTGCGATAACATTCACCACATGCTGAGCGTCTAAAGCGAAATCAATGTTCTTCTTCCTTTAAAGATTTTTTTACAACTTTGACTAGAGTTTCTTTTGGAGAGTAGGAATCATCCTAATTTTTCCGAAAATCTTTTCCGGAGTCAATCGTTCGGTAGTGCTCAAGAAGAATACATCGACGAAGCATTCTCAATTTTTTAGTATGTCTTCTTTGTTTTTATAAAAAAAAGAAAAAGAAATGGATAATATTCAAATAATAAATACAATAAATGCCATGATTATTTTCATGATTAATGTAAGTATTTTATATATATATATATATATATATATATATATATATATATATATATATATATATATATATATATATATATATATATATATATATATATATATATATATATATATATATATTCTACTAATTATTTAAGATAGTTTTTTATAATACATTTTTATAAATTTTATAATTTTTTAAACTCCGCCGATCCTGTTGGCAAGTTTGCCGACATGTATATTTTATTATTTATTGATTCCTATTTTAAGAGTGGTAAGTTTAATAAGCATTTATATATATTATAAAAATATATTTATTTTTAATCATTTTATTTTTTCTTTTTAGCTAAATATAATCGTGCTGAATCCGGCGCATAGGTGACATATTCAGCTTATACTAGAAGTAGTTATCGAGGTGTATATATATACTGTGTGTTCCAGACCATCCGTACAGCCATTTTAAAATCGAAAATTCGTGTTTTTGTGAAAAATGTTTCAGATGAAAGTTGTTTACGACAAAGAGGGCCATTTATCTGTATAATTAGTTTTGACCTTGAACATCGTTTTCAAGGTCATTTGAAGGTTGAATTGTTTTTTTTAAATGGGAACCCCTATTTTTGACACTAAATTCGGAAAGAGCGGGAAATTTTACGTCCAAAACGGTATTTTTAAATGTTTTTTCATGGCCTTGAGAAGGTCGATTAAGGTCAAATGCTTGAAAAACTGCCTAAAAGCGTTTTTTTAATTTTTAAGATATCGAAAAATGACCTCTACAAAATTTGTTATTCATTCAATTGTTCAATTCAGAGTGGGCCACCCAATGCACCAAAAACCTTTGAATTTTAACCTCATTTTGAAGGTCATTTCAAGGTCGAAGTGTTTTTTGTAATGGAAACCCCTCTTTTTGACCCCGGATTCGCACATAGCGCGAAACTCAACATAATACCTTATCCAAACGTCAGATTTCGCAATCATAGGGCAATCATCGCTACCAGCAGCAGCAGCAGCATGATTTTTACCACCTCTAATACCACCAGCACCCGGAAAGTGGTACCGAAGGTGAAATCGATGGAAACCATCACGAACTCGAGTGTATTTTCTTGTTTCGTTAGAAAACATGATCTACCAAACCATGTGGTAGGAAAAACAATTAAAAAAATTTAAAAAAAAATTTTGTATTTAATAAACTTGTATATTTAATAAAATGTATTAATATTAATGAAATAAATCGATTTAAATTAAAAAAAAATATCTCTCTCTCCCTTCCATCCTTCCTCTCTCTCACTCTCCTTCGGCAGTAGGGTACGCAGTAAATATGTATATGGGTAATTCTTGGCTATTTCGATTGACTTGTAACCCTTAGGTTACGGATTTTTTTTTAATTTGGCACAATTGTTGTACACATAAAACTGAGATTTTTCCCAAATTTTGGAGACGATACATTAATTATATCAAAAGTTATTAACAATTAAAGAAAAATGTTTTTCAAAATACTTATAATGCCTTAAAATTTCGAAATAATTACAACAATAAACAATAAAAATTTTTTTTCGAAAGTTATTAACTTTTTGTTTAAACAATTGCTAATATCTCAAAAAGTATATTTTTTTTTTTGAAAAATTCTTGCTCCTACGTATTCCTGAGGATTTTTGCTATCGAAATCAATCATAAAATTCAAGGGCCCGACATATTGGAAAGCGTAGCCCTAATCAAAAGAAGACGCCTCGGCGTAAGGCTGCGGTAGCGCTCCAGCGGACTCACGGTCGAAAGGTACTTTAGCTTTAATCTAAAAAACTAATAAAGATACCGAATCGGATCTTTCCCAAATTACTTATAATACCTTGAACTTTCGAAATAATTACAACAATAAACAATAAAAATTTTTTTTCGAAAGTTATTAACTTTTTGTTTAAACAATTGCTAATATCTCAAAAAGTATTTTTTTTTTTTGAAAAATTCTTGCTCCTACGTATTCCTGAGGATTTTTGCTATCGAAATCAATCATAAAATTCAAAGGCCCGACATATCGGAAAGCGTAGTCCTAATCAAAAGAAGATGCCTCGGTGTCCGGTCGCAACGGCACCCGAGGTCCCCTCACAGTAAATAACCTCTTGAATGTCTTTTGGGCCTTTATTTGGTTTTCTTAGAAAAAACTCGATC